TCCGGACCACGTCCAAGCAAGCGGGACCTGCGGCCAAGACAGTGACGTTCCAAGTGTGAAGTCGTGGAGCAGCTGGTCGTGGCGGGAATTGGAGCTGGACCGCTACGCACGAGGGATCTGACAAAAGGTAAGAAGCTCTAAAAACTCTTAGCGAGGTGAAACGAGGAAGTCAGTCGTGGATTTCCTTCTAACAAGCAACACAAGAATATATCAACTTTTACATTACTATCACAGTAGTGTCGCTAATACTACTACCTCCTACGTCGGCCCAAGATACTCACGACCCCGATTAGAGGAACACCGCGACAATTTGGTGGAGAAGCAGGGTATCTTCTAGCCGAATTTCGTAGGAGTACAAGCGTAAGAAGAAGCCTTGGCAACGGAGTGCCAAGGAAGAAGGAGAGAGAAGTAAGAAAAGGATGAGTGCTCAAGGATGGTCCAGCGAGGGACTTGGAGCCGGTGAAGAGGTAGGGGGATGGGCTCCTCCGTTGGAAACGGAGCCCGTGGAGATCCTCGAGGAGGAAGAGGAAGCGCGCGCTGAGAGAGCTGCTGACGGCGGCACGCCGCAGAGACTTCAAGGAAGGGAACGCCAGGGAGATGGCAGGGAACGTGGCACGCCGCAGCGAGCTGATCAAGAGACGGGAGGACTCGAGACACGAGCGGTCCACGTGGAAGGCGAGGACATGTTCGACGTGGCGTCTCCGTCTCCGGGAACGAGAAGGACGGTTGAGTCTGTGTCTGGAACGCCTCAGGGTGGACAGATGTCCAACACAGTTCTTGAGCAGTGGGCACGTCAACCGGCGCCGAGCGAAGGAACGACGCCTGCAAGGACGACGACGGGTACGCTCTTGGACGCTTCGGTGATGGACTCGGGAGGTCGCCGCGAAGTGGGGTTCGCCTTGGATCGGACTCGTCCCTCCTTGCAACCGATGGACGACTCTAGAAGGGACGTGCCCATGGTCACGTCAGTGTACGGACAACCCAACAACAGCGTACCGGGCCAACAAGGAAGCCGACGTGCCCCAGGGGCTACACATGTTGTTGCTGGAACACCTACGCGAGCGTACGTACCTGGTGGAAGTCGAGGAGCGACGCCTGTTCAATCGATGAGAACGCCGACGAGAGGAAGTGGGACGCCGACGACGGACCCAGCCTTACAGGCTCTCATCATGGACGGTCTCGCTTAACTGCTACAGAGGGCTGGAGTGACGGATGGAACGCCGGTGCCGTCTCCAAGACCTCAAGCTACAGGACACGTGCCTCGTACCGTGCCGACACCGACCCGACCAATGACGTCTTCAGTGATGGGGTATCAAGGACCTATGACCCCGGGGATGAGGAATCAAACGCCGGTTTCGACACCTAGCCGAATGCCGATGGCTGCTATTCCTTCGTATGGTGGCGTGTCAATTCCAATGGCTGGTTCCACGTGGAACGGTGGAGGTGGTGGAACGCCCCAACGGAGTGCGTTCTACCCTCCCTTCCAACCGCCAATGACGTCGACACCTGGGTGGGCTGCTGCTGGAATGATACCCGCGTGGTCTGCTGCGTCTGCACGGCAGACACCTGCCAGCCCCAGAAGCGGAACGTACGGATTGCCGTTCCAGAGAACGTCTCCTATGAATGTTGCGACGTTCCAGGGACGAGCAGGAGCGCTAGGACAAGAAGGGAACGTGGGTGCTCAAGGAGGAAGGTACGCACATAACGCAGTACCTCCGCAAGGGCAAGTGACGAGTCCGTACTACGACCAAGGAGTCCGCAATGGCTCGCACGGGTCAGGGAGAGGTGCTCAGCAGGACGTTCCGATTGTTGGTATCCCGACAGAATTACGGAACGCAGTGAAAGTTATCGTTCCATTGTACTCCGAGACGGCCACGTACGAAAGGGCGGCCGCGTTCTGGCGTTCCTTCGAGAAGTGTACGCTCGGTATGGACGACCAAATGCGGTTGACTGCCTTTGAGCAGTGTCTGAAGGGCAAGTTGGGTCAGGAGTGGTGGTACAATGCGAGGATCAACGATTTTGAGACCCTGCGCGTGAGATTCCACAACCGCTTCATCTTTCAGACGCCAGCTCAGTTGTGGAGCCGACTCAAGGCCGCTAAGAGGAACTACGGCGAATCTGCGGAAGAGTGGGGCGACCGGATCATCACGATGTGCGAGTACCTAAACTATCACGAACCTCGTATGCAGTACGAGCTCTTCCTCGATGGGTTAAGGAACAAGCAGATGCGTGCCGTTTTGAACGCGAACCTAGCTGCGTCGATCCAGGAAGCGTGCGCTTTATTGCTGTACAAGAATCTGCACCTCCCTGTGGAAGAAGAGGACGAGTTTGCTAATAGTGAAACGACGGTGAGGAACGTGACCGCGGTGACGTCCACGCAGTCGCAGATGCTCCAGCAGCTTCAACAAATGAACCAGTTGATGCTGAAACAGCAGCAGAATCCTGGAACGTCACAAGGGCACATTGGCGCTGTGGCACCCACGAATGCTCCAAGTTCTGGCGTTCCAACTCAGAACGGGAACGTGGATGGCGCACCGCTCGGACCTCTTCGCATTTGATTAAGGCCTGACACGCGTACCACCAAAGGAGAAGTGGTTTGCAAGCGCTGTGGGCGTGTTGGATGTGGTCGTCATCAGCAGCAAGTGTCTTCGGCACCAGACTTAGTAGCTGTACACCTTTTCAACTTCAAAATGGCGACAGGTAAAATCAAAGTGACAAAACGTAAGTTCAAAATGACATCGAACATAGGAGCCAGCAAAGCCAAACTTGATATTGTCTTTATTCTCCTACAGGCATATCTTTCATCTGGATCGCACGCGCATGGAACTTCATGGTGTGCAACGAGCACTTGTAGCAAAGTTCTGGGGTGATAGCTTCGAGTACGAGGAGGTCTGCAGCCAGCTTTAGGTAGCTTTCACGGTGCGCCTTGATGGTGAGGTGCGGTGGGACGCGTAATGAATGAAAGGCAGTGCGGCCACAAACTGCAGCAACAGTGTCCACTGATTCCATCGACGCCGTACAGCCAGCCAGCATCCACCAAAATTGGCGGGAGTAGTTGCCGCCACTTTTTGCCTCTTTCATCTAATGAACTCCAAACGTAAATACTCCCATAAATATTAAGTGTCAGTGTCATGTCATTTTGAACTTACGTTTTGTCACTTTGATTTTACCTGTCGCCATTTTGAAGTTGAAAAGGTGTAGTGGGAAGTATATTGGCCCATAAAGAAATCAAGTGAATTTACCGAGCACGCGAATCAGTCTCCTCCTTCTCCTCCACACACACAATATTTTTGGTCTAAATTCGCCTGACAGTACACAAACTAAAAGACGCACATTTACAATGTTCGATTGCTCACGTAATTGAAATTAGAAATCGTCAATTGGCCAAATATACAGTACG